ATATTCCATATAGTTTCGCGGAAAATCGCGGTTTAGTAGGATGCGGTTATTTCGGAAACGACCTGGCGGATTTCAACGCCGTTTTTACCAAAATATGTCAAATCATGTCGGTTGTCGAATTCCGTTATCAGTTTTTCAAAATCAGGGCCCCCTATTTTGTTAAGGATGATTTAATGGAATTACAAATTAAAGAGAAACAGAAGTAAGCCATGCGGGGAGGGGTGGGGTTCCGGCCAATCGGAACAGAGTTGAAGAGATGTTGCTGGCGTGCGCTTCGGACGGGCCGTGGCGAATAATATTTAAAATTTTAGATAAAATTATTTTATTTCAAATTCAATAAGTATGTTTCATTTTTGTATATAAGACATGAATAATGCATATAAATTTAAACAAAATAGCGTGGCACTATTTTCTTCAAAATTTTTTATTTTGTTTTTTAACATATATCAAGAATATTAATAATTATTATTATTATTTTATTTTTATTATGTTATATTAATCTTATTGCTAGTTCTCCTGATTTTCAATCCTGTCTAGCTATTTTCACGAAATTTCGAATAAATGTAAATAAATGTAAAATTTGTATGTTTTATATAATAATAATAATAATGTACTTTTATTGATACCACAAAATAAATACAACAAAACAATAGTAAGAATAACAATAAACAATAAACTAATACGTAAACCACACAACAAATGGATTTTCTGGAAATCCTCTATGTTGTCGCATCGTTCCACAGACTCGAATTTTCTTTGTAAGTAAATTCTCCGCAAGTTCTACACAATTGTAGTAATTGTCCATGTATAAGTGATATATTATGTAAAAACAAAATAAAGAATTTTGAAAAAAATAGTGCCAAGCTATTTTGTTTAAATGTATATGCATTATTCATGTCTTGTATACAAAAATGAAACATACTTATTGAATTTGAAATAAAATAATTTTATCTAAAATTTTAAATNGTATATTATATAATTTTTCTGTAAAGATAATAATTATCTAAAACTCGCTACAACAATTATTTACAAAATGAGATCAATTAAATAAAATTGTATAAGTAGTCAACTATTAAAATCTAATTTAATTGTAGTTACATTTAGTTGCTACATTAAATTGTATATAAATATTCATGGCACATTTTTATTGTACCGTATAGGGCCGTTATCCTAAATCGAATAGAAAGACCATTTTTCAAAAAATCGATAAAGTATGTAAAAGTAGAAGGATTGGTAACATTTTCAAATCCTAAAATTGTTTAATTCTTGCAATAATTAATATTAAAATTCAAAATCCACTCTATAACAGGTTTGGTGTCGTTTACGAGGTTTTCACGTAAGATCAAAAAGATTTTTTTTTTGAAAAAGGTATAATACATTAAAATCGGAGAATTAGCAAAAAAGTTATATTTATGGGTATGATTGTTTATAGCGTTTTTACTCATTTATATCCGTTATTGTTAGAATTTCGCGCCGCCATTACTATGACATGATCTACAGGACGAGCTTTTTCCAAAAAGGTATCACACATTAAGTGTTGCCGCCCAAAATCTGCGCAGCTAAAACTATGTTAGGCTCTACTCTACGAGATCTTTGTAATGAGCTATTAAAATCGATACACAAACAAAAAAGTTTTTTTTATGGATGGAATTTATGGGTAACTTCACACTGGTAGTTAAGGAGCCTATAGAAATGGCTTTGACGCCAGCTCATTTTTTGGCAAATTTGCTTGATCATCGCTTTAGAGGAAATAAGCTTAGTCAAGAACAAATAGAAACTGGCATGGAATATGTAGATATCTATCATCTAGAAGCATTGCCAATTATTATTAATTACCAGGCAAAGTGTGTACGCTTTAAACCATATGTTTTCTAAACATCTAATTGAAAATGTAAAACCTTTGCCATGGTGGCGTTCTATGAAAAATGTAAATACGACAGCATTGGAACTTGCTTAACAGCTTCATACAGCTATTGCATCGTCAGCCAACATAGAAAGACTCTTTTCATCATACGGTTTAGTCCATTCAAAACTACGTAATCGGCTAGGCAATGTCAAAGCTGCTATGTTGGTTTCAATTTTTAAAGAGCTTAATTCCATCAATGATGACGTGACTGATCAGATATCTGATTGATGACTTAGATGACTATGAGATTGAAAGAGTGTGAGAAATTTGATAACGTTTGTATGCAAAACGTTTTAAGTTTTCCAATTTTTATTGTGTTCTTATTATTCATAAATAATTAATATGTATGGTAAAAAGTTTGTATAATGTATTTGAGAATTTTTCCTATTTTTATTCATTCTAGTATAAATAAAGAAAATGAAAAAAACGCTTGTTTAATTTAAGTGTTTTAAACATGTTTTAAACTGTTTTAAACCTAAGCTAATGTTTAAAACGGTTGATTAAAACAAAATGTTTAAAACGAAACAACCCTGAAAAAAATGTAAAAAAAATCCTGAAATAAGAGGCATTAAAAAATTTGTTGTACCATTTAAAGAAAAGAACTGTAAAGTGCTTTTTTATGGTATTTGTGGTGTTAAAACCTCTGCAAATTAACCGCACAGTTTGCATAATCACAGTTTGTATTTTTTGAGGATTTAAACAATTTATTTGAGATGCATCTAGATTACTGCTTAAAGATTTCGAAATGTTACTTGGGCATCATCAACGGTTTCCTGATAAATCCCCAGCCGTTCAAAGGAGTTCTAGGGATTTATTTGAGATACATCTAGCTTACTTCTGAAAGATTTCCAAATGTGCATCAATAATGATTGCCTGATAAATCCCAAGCATTTCAAACTAGTTCTAGTGATTTCTGGAATTTATTTGAGATTTTCTGATAACGTTTAATTAGTTATTTTTGATACAAGATAGCGAAATGACACTTTTGCATTCGAGAACGAAAGTTTTTTTTTCTACGAGCTTTAGCGAGCAAAAAAATCGTTCGAAAAGATTTCATTTTCAATAATTTTCCAATTTTCTGAATCCATTGATGGATTTTCAAAAATAATAAAACTCTCCGGATCGACATAATACATTTTCGAAGGGAACTTTTGGCGGTCGCAACTTTTGACTTCTTTGACACAATATGACCCGTCAGAATAGGTTTTTACTCGATGCTGACGATTTAATACTGATGCAGACATATACTACCAAATCACATCAGCAGCTACTTCTAAGTTATAGCTCAAATAACGAAAGGAAGCAGCAGAAAATGCTACCACAAAAAGAACTACAAAAGAAGACAAATATAGGGATGGAAGGAGTAAGGGGTCTTACTACATAAAGGAATACTACACAAAGGTGAGGTATTCAACGGAAGAATTGAACAGGAAAAGAAACCAGAGGATTAAGATGTGGAAATGCAAAAGAGAGGAACGGGGATAAGGAAAAGTAGATCCAACCCAAAATATGCCGAAATTGTAGCGGAGGGGCTCCAGAAATACCTGATAACGGAGAGAGATGAGGAAGGGAAAAGGTTGGTAGCCAGGTTTAGATGTGGCAATGAAGGAAGATACGCAGATAGATAGAGAAGGATATTATAGGAGAGTGGGATATTCAATAATTGGAATTGACAATAGAAGAGTGGAGAGAACTGAGAGATAGGGACAGGGACATACAGCGGCAGGAAAGAAGGTCACAGATATCGGAAGGGAGATATAATGTAAGGTATGGGGAGATAATATAGATGCCAAAGTATCTGTTGATAGAGGATGATGAAGGGAAGAGATTAGGCCAGATTCCGCAATGAGGAGAGAGAGAACATGTACTGGGTGGACGATGTGGAAAGGTGGTGTAGGCTGTGTGGAGAGAATTGGGAGACATTGTAACACATGCTGAGAGGGTGTAGTGAGCTAAGGAAGGAGGCGATGGACAAGAAGCAGATTGTGGGAGAGAGGGGTGAGGGCTAAAGATAGATGAGGGAGGTAATTGGGGCGAGGAGCCGAGGGTGTAGAGATGGGGAAGGAGGGTAGAGGGTTTGGGTGCATACATACAGTGCTAACGTAAAGTACCCCTCCACTTTTTAACTTCCAAACAGATTGAGATATCAATATGAATAAAAAAACGTGAGTTTCTATATATCTATTTCTATATATTCTTTATCAGCACTAACATTTTCTTATGGACCTTTAACTGACCGTCCACCATTTATTTGGCCCATTGTATCTGGACAGGTAGTCAACGAAGATACGTTGGTTTTTCCGGCGAAATTCCGCAAGTGATAGCAAAATTTTCCATAAGAAAATATTTGTGCTGATAAAATATAGAAACTGACACTTTGTTCATATTGATATCTTAATCTGTTAATCTGAAGTTAAAAAAAAAGGGGGGGGGGGTTACTTTACGCTAGCACTGTATATTGTATTAGATATGTATTTGTAGAAATATTGTAAATTATAAACAATAAAACGCTTATTAACATTAACTTTTCAGCTATTAATAATTAAGAAACAAGACAGATGTCTTAACACAAAAAGAAGAGGGTTCTCCCCATGTGTTAATGAAAATTTTGGTTTTTCTTCTATGTACAGAAAATTATATTCTATTTGAATAATTTTTTGGCCACCATCACCATCTAAATTAAGAAGGTTTAATTGAATATAAACGCTAATTTCAAGAAACCCATGGCGAAAAATAAAAATAAGAAGAATTTTTGTTTTAATCAAACACAAAAACCTTTTTTTTAAATCTCTTTGATCAACCTAAATAACACAACAATGATGCATTTAATACAATTTTCACCTTTGGACCTAAGCAAAAAGCATTTTTTGCACACTTCAAAAATTAAATCTAAATCTGCAAAAACCTTTGCGTAACAAACAAAAATAAATCATTACAATTTTTTTCCACAAATTTGCCATCACAAAAAAATTGATAACTTTCGTTATTTTAATCATCGTTGATCATCTTTCTAGCAGTTTACAATCCCTGTATCATTTCCGATTATACTTTCGAGGCGAAGCAATCTAATCGTCAGTTCCGTTCGAGCGTCGAGACGCTTAACATCGCTGTGCTAAAATACCTTCGTTTTCGTGAATTGTATTTAAAAAAAAAAAAAATACAAAAAGTGCAGTTTCATTTTAATATCGCGGTAACACTACGATAGGATAACTTTTATCTAACATGATGTAAAGTTAAACTCGAGTGATTCACCAGTGAGTACTTTCCTCTTTCAAACTTGGTGCACTTTGCCCAAAAATTTGTTAGGAAATAGATAACGTTATTATATTTGAATTCTATTATATAGCTTTTTCTTGGTTATTAATAACATATATTACCTAATTACATTTTTTAATTAAATTAAATTAAATCAAATTAATAAATTATTAGTTTAAAGTTATCGGCGATTTCTAATTCAATTGAATCATTTAAATTAAATTTAATAAAGGTGTGTGATTTGTTGATTTTAATTATCATTAACAAAAATTAAATCATCATAAAGTTATACAAAATCCTATAACAATCAATTTTTTTTTAAACCACTCCAACCTCAAGGTCAATCAACAAAGTTGTACTATTAACGCACATTTTGTTGTCATATTTGGAAAGTAAACGGTAGCTCTTTTTGAAGCATCCATTCTTAATGGACACTCCATATGTGAGGGTTCTCAATATAGCCCGATCGTTTACATAACGATTTGTAAATATCGAATTATTATTTTTATGTCCATAAATCCCATTAGCACCCACAAAGGTATATGTAATTTAATTTTAATTTTTTTCTTTGTAGTTATGGTCTCAGAAAAAAATTTTCTAAATGAATTCCATCGAAAGCTTGATGATAGAAAAATTCGCAATGGTAACAGAAACCCATCAATCGATTACCTACGTAGAAATGATCATTTGGTTCATTGTAATGCTACTGTTATTGGTATTAACAGTATGTGGGAATTTTTTAACAATATGCGCAATCATTTTTACAAGAAAACTTGGAGCCTTAGTTTCGAATCGATTTGTATTAAGCTTAGCTTTAAGTGATTTATTAGTCGGTTTGGCAATTCCATATCATTTTATATTCAGCGTTGGTATAACTTTGGGATCGAATAGAGAAACGTGCGTCATCAGATTCGTGTTGGTTATCTTTGCTTGCGCCAGTTCAATCTTTAATTTAATGGTAATAGCAGCAGATAGATACGCCGCCGTGGTTTATCCTTTAGAATATGGAAAATACATGAGAAAGAAATTAGCTTATGGAATAATCGTGTTTGGATGGCTAATCACTTTCGCTTTATCAACGGTCGTTGTAATATGGAATAATTGGGATATCAACCAAGACAATTGCTCTTTCACCGAAATCATTCCTCAAAATTATATTATATTTATTTTAACACCGATGTTCGCATCAGTTTGGGTGGTCATCATCGTATTATATTTGAAAATTTGGAGAATTGCGGCGTCACATGCTAAAAAAATAAGAACATGCGTCCTCCAAACCTCTAAATACACAGGAACCGATTGGAAATCAATTCAGGTAAATTTAAGAATAAGCGACGGCGATATATTTTCGAATGTTAGTTTATTTGGAAAATGTAAATCTAGTTAGAGTTTTGATTATTTTCTCTTTTCCAAAATTTCACCATCTATATTTCTTAACTTCAATCTTGTTTCTTAATAGACTTATTTTCTTTCCACATGTTCAAACACATTCAAATAGTTGTGGTGTTACGTTAAAAACAATAATTATTGATTAAAAATCAATCATGTACCCAACAACATCGATTCCCTTCAAAAAACGACAGAAACAAATTTAATGACTATTAATGAACGTGTAGTTGTTGATGTAGAGGGGTAGAACCCGCAATTTCGATTAGATAACAATTTTTATTTACAAAATTTTATCTCGTTCGAGACCCTACGGCTCAGTTTAAATCTGACACTTATTAGTTTTCATTTGAATCAGTTTTTCCATTCAGTTAAACATAAATTAATGAGATGTAAACCGTTAAGATTACTTTAAAGTCTAAAATTTAACACTTATTGTAAGCAATTTATATGTGACTCATTTGAAGTTATTTAATTTAACTTTTATATTAGGTACTAAATAAGTCTTGGTCCAAGGTTAGGTGGACATCAATTGTAGTAAACGATGTATTATATTGTTGTAAATTTAAATCTTTACTCTTTGTCAGAATCTTATTTGCGTAATAATGTCATCTAAAATTGTATGCAGTTGAACATTTGAATTTTAGGAACTTCTACATTTTTAATGATTTGTTATTCCCTCAATACTAGTTTTGTACTTTAGCTTATTTTTCTGAGTCACAAAGAAGATGCAATATTGTATTATGTTGCGTTTTTACGAAAGACATTTTACCGGTTTCGAGATTTAAATACTCATCATCAGCCATCACATTCTCATAAACAATTATTTCTGTCAGCCGACCTACAATCGGATCATAATACAGTTAATGTGAAAGAACGTTCATTTCCACAAAACGAATCAGACTTACTTGAAATGAACACAACTAATATAGCATATCTGCTCCTACATGTAAATTCGTAGCCAATCTCAAAATTATTGCTCTCGATTGGATTGATCACAACAATTCAGGAAACGAGAGAGCCGAAGAAATAATTCTATCAATTCACAGAAAGAGAATAAGTTAAATCACAAAAAAAAATATTAAAATTATCACGGGTGATATGTATACCATAATAGTCAAAAACAGAACAGTTCCGTGAAACAATAGGAGGGCACTTCTGCATGATAGTACCAATAAAAACCGAGAATACCTAATTAATTTTGCCCCTAGCAATAAAAAATCTACAAAGCCACGTAGATATCACCAGATGGAGGCACGGCGAAACAAATAGACCATGTCCTTATCGATAAAAGAGCAACTAGTAGTATATTGAACGTTAAATTAAGAGACACGCAAAACCTAATACATAACGGGCAACCACATCAACTAGTAGAGGATCACTGGAAAGCAGTTAAAAGAAGAACAGGCTGAAGAGAGTAACCTGATTTGATGAAGAAGGCAGAAAGGCGATGAAGAAAGAAAAACAACAGAAAGGAAAGAAGAACAGAAGAAAAAAGAACAGTTTCGAGAAGGCCAGAAAAAAGGCCGATGAAATGTGCAGAAGTAAAAAAAGAAAATATGAGAACGACCTCATAGTAGAAACAGAAGAGGACTTCAGAAATAATGATCCAAGAAATGCATACAGATACCTGAAAAGCATAAGAGATGGATACAAATCCAGAACATGTAAACTTTTAATTTAGATCCAATATATCAGTATTTCACATAAGAACAGAAATTTCCCCTGAGATTACCGTATTTGTTGAAATCAATCGAGCAACGTTTCATTAATTTATATGGAAATAAAATTATTAAATTTCAACACGTTTTTGAAGCTCTGATAATTATGCAATGTTGTTTACCATTACGAAGCAATAATTCTAGGTCCAAATTAATTAGAGATATCGACATGTTTAAGTTACACTCATAAAACTGAATTATGAACATCATCAGCATACATGAGGATTTTACTGTAATTTTAGTTCTAATATAAATAGTATAAATTAGATAAACTACTGATAGTTCACTCTCCTTATTGTGTTCGTAAACTTGACAAATTAAGAATTACGTAGGAAGGTATTTAAAAATATACATAAATACCAACGTGACAAGTTTTTTTCACCAATTTGCGATTCTAAAAGAAATAAATTTCTGGCGAAGACAAAAGCCTCTTACAACGTAACCAAGGTCAAATCTACCTTCAAATTCTCAAACTGCTCATTTTAAGAAAACAATTTATTTCCCACGAATCATTAAGATATACACGATTTTATTAACAGATAAAGTTCATTTCATTCATATTCAATGTGAAGCTAAATTTTTGCGATAGTCACAAATGCGGTATTTTAATGATGTCGTCGTGAACCTCGTGTGGATTGGCGTCATCCCATATGCGGCAATGTTGCTTGTTAATATATTTGTTATACATATATTCAGTCAAAACTCCGAAGCTCACTCAGCGAACAAACTATAGACAACGCCGTTTATTATTAACTTGAGTTCCTGGGTCAGTTGGAGACACAAAATTCGCCAACTTGAAATCTACGAAAATCCCAGTTCTTGCGCACGGCGAGGTATCGACTGCCCATGGTTCTTCTGCACTTTTACGGACACGTCATACTTTCTCTTGTGGAGTCCGGGTAGGACCCTTTATTCATAGAGAAAACTTTCGTACTTGGCTCCTAAGAGAGAAGTTACCATCCCCGCCGCGTGGAGGAGGAGCTGCCACTGTCCAGGAAATCACTTACACAGGAACGCAGACCCACAATACACACCCCTACACTACGGTAAGATTTAGTTTGGTCAATAGACCGAACATCCGACTTTCACGGACACTGACGAGGTTCTTGGCGATAACGAACACTCATTGTGACAAAAAAGGTTCGTCATTAGGACCTGCTGCTTTGGACATGTAACTTACCATTGGTGATTTGGCATCATTGACTGAATAATCAACAATAGATTTTACAGACGCCGCCAAAACAACATCGATCAACACCTATTGGAAAATCCTTTACAAACCATCAAATCCAAGTTATGCCAAAATTATTATGGCCCCTCTGAGCGGTCGAACACTACACATCAAAGGGCACCATTATGCGCAGCTAATTGCGCAGTGGCATGTCCACACAGTAGATCATCATTGCTTAACCATTTCGGTCGCCAACAGCACCTGTTGCTTACAGTGGTCCATTAGGTGGGCTATCTAGACTATACCACTGTGTGGAAGCAAACATGCTAGCCATCATCAATGGTGGCCATCATAGCGACCATTCTAGTGGTCCATCATGAGCCATAGTGAAGAGGAGCCATTAAGTATCTACCAGCGTCAGCTTGAGACATTAATGCGATTGAGTTGAGACATATTTCATCAAATCACTTCATATAAAGTTTATATGTTCATATTATAAACAAACCAAAGGTGAAATTATACACACCATTGCATAGGTGATTGATTTCATATTTTATCTCATATTCTGTTTCTAATCTTATATAAGAATAACTCCTAATCGTAATGCGTAGTGCTTCATGGATGGAGATGTATGTATTGTCGTGAAGAAGTTTGTCGACGGGACACTACGATAACGCACTGAAGATGTCAGGTGAGATCTTGGTGAAACTTCCAAAGGGAACCAACAGGAAGAAAGGATGAAATCTCGAACCGACCACAATAACACATAACTCCTAATTGCTTATGGTTTAGTGCAATGGCTTGTAACTGTTCCGAATGAATGTCAGCTACTTCAATATTTCTTCAATATATTACTAATATTATCTCCAAATGCATCCCAAAAGCTTCAAGAGATTTTTAATTGTTAAAAAAACTGGTTGAAATTACATCCAATAATTAACCAACTGATTTCTATAAAAGTTATTCGGCACTTTAGGGTCTTCGCTGAATTTGCAATTTGCCCCCATTTGCTGCGGTCCAACATTACCTCCTCTAGTCGTTCGATATTTAGGATTTACGGTCCGTAGATCCACTACAGTATTACTTCTCTACCCCATCCTCGATCTTCCTAGCAGCCGCCTTCCCTCTAAGAATTCTTCCCATACCAACTTGGCGACACGTTTGTCTTGTCTCCTAACATGGCCAGCTTCAATCTTTCTGACTTTATACTATATCTGGCAGGTTATATAGTTCTTCCAGTTCTCTATTAGTCCTCATCTATACTGCTGTGTGATGTTGTCCTTAACTGGTTTGTATATCGAAATGATCCTATCTTTGTATGGCAGGATAAATTATTCGATTTCATTCCCCGTATTCTGTTTTCAATATTTTGTGTTATGTTGTTATCAGGAATGGAATATTTAAACTGATAAACCCTTTCAAAATTGTATTAGTCCATTATCACGTTCTGTCCTATTTTGTCTCATCGTTCTGTTCTTGTTGCAATCATATATTTTCTTTCATATTCCTTGTTCGTTGATTCACTGCTTACAAATTAATATTTATCCAACAATAACAATAATTTAGCCACATAATTTAATATTTTTCACTTTCAAAACACGCGCAATAACCGGGGTTAAATCAAAACTGAAAATAAAATAAGATTCTGACAAATTTCGAGACTTTCCCTCAACCCAATTTTTTAGAAAGAGTTTATATAAATGTTAAGACTTTATATGAATGATTATCGACTAATTTATTCATAGTCATTTACAATATACACGATACATTTGCACCAAATGAATAGAGACTTGGAGAATTCTAAAGTGAATCTAAATTTACCACAACCAGAAATAGGTCTCTAATGTGACCGCATATTTCATATATCAAATCGGAGAATAAACCACTTAGAACTTTATCCAAACGTGATTAAAATAGAAACAATATTTTATCGTTTAAAAATAACAAAAGTCAAAGAACTTAAACTGATTGATCACTTTTGTTACAGGTTGTACTTTTGGTGTTGGGTTGTTTCTCGGTGTGTTGGTTGCCGTATTTCATAATGATAACGTGTTACAAATTATTGGGCGACATTCCGTTTTTGGTCTACGAAATCACGTTTATTTTGGCGATGGCGAATTCGTGCATGAACCCGTTGATTTACGCGTGGAAAAATTCGAATTACCGAGAAGCTTTCTTGTCAATGCTCAAGTGCAAATCGCCGAATTCAATCGGTTCGCAATTCCACGAGTACGTCACCGATCATACGCCGACCGGAACTAATAGTCGCGAACCAAACAAACCGGATAAAACCGTTGCCGTTATTGAGAATGGATTAAAACCGCCAATTAAGTCATTGGAAGAGGAAATTACAATTATGGAGAAAAATACTAAAGATATCGACTGGGACGCTACTTTACCCAGATAAAAAAGAAATATTTTAACTTTTAAAACATTCCATATTTTGTGTTGTGTGTTTAATAAAGTTTAAAAAAAATATTTTTATGTAAATATAATTTAGTTTTTGACTCACCTCAACTCCTGTAACTCCCAAAGTATCGCGGATATTCGGTGTTAATCTAAATGGAACTTTTTCCGGTACTCGAAGTGCTTTTCCCTTTTCAAAACACACATTATAATCGATATGGACAACATCCCCGCTGGTTAAATCAACCAAAACATTATCTAAATGGCGATCTCCCAATCCAATAATATACCCAATAATACTCATAACCGCCACGGAATAAGAATATTTTCGCACCATATGCCACCAAGCTGCAGCATTAACAGAATGACACCATAACTCTTTAGCTAATAAATCGCTGGGTGTTTCGTTCATTAATTCAGTTAAAACTTTTTTTAACACAACCAAAGGCCATTCTTTTCGGTTATCAACATTTTTTACACCATGTTCTTGTAATAACGGATTTAATTTGTTATAAAATAATTCGGATGGTCTTAAAACTGAGGTGCTACTACTTGATGATTTCGAAGATTTCGCCGATTCTCTTTGTTGCCATCTTTTGTACAAAGCAAAAACCGGTGTGGTTCCATCCACCCAACTTATCAAACCGGAACGAGGTCCTAATGGAATAACGGAGTAATATCTCGCGTTATATAATTTTTGTTCTAATCCGTCTTTATTTTGAGCCATCATGGTGTTGGTAATACTTAAAAATTGCATTATTCTTTCGTCTAAATGAAGATCTTCTAATCCTTTAAACAAATAGGTGTACGTGTGGCCATCGGATCCATGAAAAACTAATTTCTTCGGTTTCGTTTTCGTCGGTAAAATCGAAACGTGATTAGAAACATGTGATATATTTATTTTGTGTTTAGTAGAAACTAAACCGGGCATTGCTATCATCGTGTTTTTCATCCCGGCTAAAACCGGGCTAATTTCGGTCATTTTTAACGAATACGATGTTCGTTTATGTGCTTTTTGTTGGAATTTCGTTTGGAGGTCTTTAAGTAACGCCCAAGATTCTTGTGGTTTATCTGAATTACCGGGATTTTTTAATTTCGCTAAAGTGTCGATTATTAATTGGGAATATTGTTCTTGAAATTGTTTTTCGTGCGGAGTTTCCGGCTCACGACTAGTTATATCATTTAATTGTTCTAAAATAAAAATAATCGGCTTGATAATAATCCGGTGTTTTTCGGTTATTAAACTTGATTTTTCCTCGTAACTCAAATGAGGGTTTGCGTGGACCTTATCGATTTCAACTTCTAATTGTTGTTGCCTCTTATTAATTTCGCCGTGGTGTTGGGCTAAAGTACCCAACCACAATTCATCCCACAACAAAATAATTCTTCGCAACTCTTTCACTAAAACTTGCACCTCGTTAATCGTCTCCGGCGCTTGTTTACTTAAAGTGTCCACCATCGATTTAAAACACGATTGCAAAACGTTTTTAGAATCATCATTCTCGCTATCATAACTGTCTTCGATTTCGTCTTCGGTGTCGTCGTTATTTTCGTTATTTTGGGACAAACAATCTTTCGGGAGGGAAATTTCGGAGAAATCGAATTTAACCCCACCTTCTAAAGCACCAACAACCGCGGGAAACATGATGAGATGAGGGGCATCCTCGGCTATTCGACATAATAACTCGGAAACTCTTTGTCTGACGTAGTTTTCGGGGTGATTTAATCTCGAAAAAAGTTGCGGGATGATAATTTTCCACGGTTGAGTTGGGGTGCTTCTTAAACCCTCCTCTAAAACATCTTGAAGCTCCAAGGCGTGTTTTACAATTAATCGTAATAATCTTAAAGTTACCGTAACGATGTTTGATTCGGTGCTTTGGGTGAAATACTCATTATTTGTTGTTAAATGGAGATATTTGAAATAAGCTTCCGCGCTTAATTCGTAATATTCGAAAACTCTTTTATGGATGGTTCTCCATATTTGGACTAAACTTTGGATTTCGTTTTCTGATGCGTTTGATAGCACGGGAACGTTTTGTAATTGGCTTTTAATCATTTCGGAGGTGTTTATTTCGTTTGAATCGATGTCTTCTTCGTCTATGAAGACTCTCACTTGAGATAGGATTAAATAAATTCTTCTTAAATCGTCGGGTTTTGAATCTGGGGGTAAAACTTGTTGGATTTTCGTTTGGTCTTCTTCGGTTAATATGTTGGATAATTCCGTGCTGGTCGAATCGACGACTTTTCGCCCCCAACGATAACACCAAGTGCCGTAAGCGTTCCAACTTTTCGCTAACGTTTGATTACATTGTTGGACGCTGAATTGTAACAATTTCCCGATGGCCATTTCGGTTAGCGGGATTATGTTCATGTATTCCGCAGTTCCAATTTCGGGCAAAACTGTTAAAAATTTTCCTAAGGGGCTATCAAGCTCTGTAATCGAAACTTGCTCGTTCACTTGCAACCAATTCGCTAATTTCATTAAAATTTTACTACTTATGTATTTTAATTCGCTCCCGCCGAATCTATCCGCACACTTTGATATCGACGTAGAAGATATTGCACATAAATTGAAAGTTAGGGGTCGATGCTCGGAGTTTACGTACAATAATTTGATCATTTCTTGGACTGCTTTCGCTGTATCAAGCGACCACATCGTAAAATCTGGGATTTTTTTAATAAGCGAGTTTGTGATATCGATTAAAATTGAGCCCGAATTTTCAATTGGAGATACCATATCTTTTTCTTGAAGGAAATGGTACAAATGCCGCACGGCTAAGTTGTAATTCTTTTCTTTGCGGGCTCTTTTAATCACGTTTAATCTTAAATTGCTGCAGAACAGGCTAAATCCTTGATTTTGTATTTTCGCGAAATACTCCGACCACCATAAAATCTTCGATAAAACGCACGAATCAACGTTGTCGATTTCATGCTCAAAATTCTCAGAAACCAATAAAACGTTACTAACCGGGGAGTTATTAACGATATTTTTTAACCCGTGAGTTATGTAGTTTAATAAACAATAATTTTGTAAATACTCCGATGGTAAAGCTAATAATTCGGCTTGCATAACCCAATGGATCTTATTTAAATTCAAATCTAAGATGTTTAATGTTGTTTCTTTATCGCCCCTTAAAATATTAAACGCTGTATTATAAACGGCCATTTCCGATTGGCACAAAACATCTTGGCAACTCCAAGTTTTCCACGTTGGGGATTCCTCCCATGAGGATAATTCGGTTAAAACATTTCCCGTTTCCATTTCGAAGAGCGAAATAAAACAATCGCGCGACCAAGTGCTGTAAGAATGTTTCGGGCATTGATAATCTTCCCCCAAATAATTCTCAGCTTCATCTTGCCACATCACAATATCATACCAATTATTAATTTGTTTCAAACAAAAAATGATTTGGTCGTAAATAAATTGTTTAATAAAATTCGGCAACTCTTTATTGATCGATTTTTTATACCCATCAACGGCTAATTCGTACCTTTGGGACGCTTGATCGACGCAAGCTTTTATCCAATTAATTTCTTTCCCATTTTTTTTACAAAACACATAAAGTCCTTGTAAGCAATCACTTTCGTGCATATTTAACAAAGATAACGCTGTTAACATAACGGTTTGTTCAAATTCCGGCGTTTCAATTTGATTACCATCAACTAAATCCTTAATCAGTATTTGACAATGCCGATAAACAAACGCAGATTGCCCCGCGTGTAATCCAAGCTGTATAATCGTCGGACGAATCCTCGATAACCACTCTTTACACGTTGATGAATTCGTGTTAAAAAACGTCCGAACGGGTTTCGTCGGCTGAGGAATCGCAATCGCCGATCCTTCGTAAGCGTTATAAATACTGATTTCTAAATGATCCATGAATTGTAATAATAATCTAACTTGATAAATTTTTGATTCATCAACGGCTCCGGGGATAACTTCGTAATCCGCGTTTTCTTTCACCTTAACCAAATCTTTTAGCGTATTTTTTAAGCTTATCTCAAAACTGGTGAACGTTTCGTTCGGTTTTCCCAACGGCGTTCTTAATTTCGTGTTAACGCAAAATTGAGCCGCTTCCCAGGTGGCCCAACTTTGCAAAACCGATTTCGATTTTAACGCCAAATCATAAAATTGCGTTGTGTACGGTGAAATTTGATTTTCCGCGTCAATGTACCAACAAATAATAAAGATATCTTCCAACCATTTTTCCGAGGACATTTCGTTCTTTAAGAGGTAATTCATGAACGATTTTAATTGAAACGGAAGCATTTCGCCGTACATCGAGCCGTAAACGTGTAAATGTTGGGCTAAAACGCAAGTGTAAACGTTGTAACGACTTATTGAGTTCCCATAAATTTGTTTCGCTTTATCTATGGTGTATAATTTCCCGAATTCTTTTACGGCGATATCCCATGGGATGTTTACGGATAACTTGGTGTAATTTTGACGCACTTCTGGGTTGTTTGAGGTCATGTGTAAAACGCAAAGCTCGTTTATGTTGGTTAAAAATGCGTTGGGGAAAGCTAATCGTTTGTTGCTTAATAATTTGTCTAAGTTTTTGCAAACGGTTAATATTACGTTATCGATTTTTGAGTAGCCGCTTTTAAGAGTGATTTCGACTAGTTGTCTAAATTCGTTGGTGTCGTAAAAGACTTCTAAGTAAGGTTCGGCGTAAATTAAAACATCCTCGAACCAATTTAGGAGTAAAAGAATGGTTTCGGTGCAAGGTTTTGTTAATAATGTTTTGTATAAAACGTTTAAAACGATGGGGAAATGCCCCGAATTCGGTGATTTTCCAACGTCGTCTATTGTAAAAGTTTCGGGTAATCCCAAATGGCCGATTATGTTGAATTTATCGGTAACTAAGCTTGAATTTGAGATAAAGTAGTTGTAGCATCTGCAGTGTGAGAATAATAGGTATAATAGGCTGTATTGGAGAATTGGGTTCGATTTTGACAAATTTTCATTGTATGGTTCAAGGAGGACTCCTAATAATTCTAAAATGCTTGGTCTAAGAGCCCACATCCCAATTATTGATCCGCTTACGTTCGCTAATTGGGATAAACACTTGAATAGAAATAAAATCATATTTTCAGCTTCCCCAATCGAACAAGATACCTCCATAAAGGGGTTATTACTACATAAAGGTGATATTGGTACGAAATATTTATAAACAAGTTCTAAATCGCCCAAAATGTATCGATAAGCCTCTTGTAATAGCGGAATATTTTTCATATTAAGTAATGATTGATAAACGGAAACGATGGCTTCTAAAATATTTTCGCAAGATGATCTTCTTAATTTAACAATTTCCGATTCGGGTCCTAATAATTTCGGGATAAGTTCAACTGGTAAACTAGCAGAGAGTTCTTTAATAACTTTCGAAATCATCAACATAACCGAGATAATCGTCGCGTCGGAAAATTCATTAATCATCGACAATTCCAAATCGACGAGTGTTAAGATAGAGTTACACAAATGAATCGGTTTCGTGTAATTCACCGATAATAACAACCCGATACTTTCATTTCCCGCGATTGTTAAATTATCGAGTGAAAAAGTCGCCGGGGTTAGCGCTTTAATTAAAGTTGCGACGATTTTTTCTAAACAATCGGTGACGAATTTTGTTGTGATGTTCTCGTTTTTTGGATTAAACACGTCTTGTCCGAGCGATTTCAAAACGGTGTTTAAGGCGAGCACAAAGACCGTTAAGTGATCTATGGCGGAGATGGTATCCGAATCTTTTTCAATTTTTAATTGGTTACTATAAGTTTCGATATCTTCCATGAAATGTAAAAGTAACGTGACCGAAAAATCGATGTTTAATTGGAAATATTTCGAAAATTTTTGCATCGATTTCGAGATAAACTCTATGTTTGATAATAATTGGGTATGGTCCACGTGCCAACCGATCACTATATCTGTGGTGTCCCTAAATAACGGATAAAAATCATCGGGGTACAACTCGACTAAGTTTACCAAGACTTCAAGGCCCGTTTTAAAAACGTCGATGTTATCGGTATTTTCAATGGTTGAAACGATTTTTTTCATTAACCACGCTGAATGTTTTTGCAAAACGGGTTTTTTCTTTTCGAGTGATAACGTTTCTAAAAATGCTTTCATGAATAAGTAAGTTAAATTGTCTGAATTGGTGGGAATTTTAGAAAATAACCAAGTTTGGAATCTTTCAAAATCGATTTCTTGCCCCATAATGTAACCCATTCGACCTAAAGCCCTTGCAGCTTGACATTTCGCTGTTGGACCGGGGGCGACTCTTAATATATCCAACATAGATTCACATAATATATGGAAAGCCTTTTTAACATAAATAGAATTATCAGGGATTAATAAAACTTCTAAAAGCTTCTTTGAAATAACAAGGGAATTATCTGGATCCTCTTCGATATTTAACCTTCTCAATAATTTTGATATTCTTGTATCCTCAGGCAAATTAAATTTAATTTCTTTCTTGTCATTTTCATAATATTTTGAAGGATGATACGTACCACTGTTTCTATTCAACGCATCTTGATATTTCCTTCCAATAATATAAACACCTTCATTATAATCGCGTTCACCTCTCCTCGATGGTGTCGAACCACCTCTTCCTCCCCTAATAAAATTCCTTCTTTCCGTGCTACGGTTATTATTTTGTCTGGTTTTGATGCCTCTGTACCGACCATCTCGACCATTATTATAGACCTGATATCTACGATTAGCGTCCCCGGATGGGGCCGCGTCACCATCCACGCTTTCGTCTTCTACAACATCGTCCACCTGATGATTGTTATCCTGAAAACTGGAACTCTTCGAAGTTTTCAACTTGTAAGACTGCGAACTATTCGATATCATCGTTCGGTTTACATATCGGCAATGTAACCCTGAACATGTGTGTTTTCGTGTGCGTCCGTTTCACACGTTCCCCTTTTACGGAAATGGCGTAATTTTTAACACGACAACTGGCGCACACGATTCACAAAAACAATACGTATCTGACATTTATAATCTCTCGCACAACCAACCTAGTCAATTCCGAATGTTACGACTTTTTTTTAATACACTTTTTCAGTTTTCAGGGCCTGCAACTCAACACATGTCACTAAAAACTGTTAACGTAATCGATATGACACGTATATGGACTCGTGACGTTCTATCTTCTTCTGGAATTCGTTATTTTTCAAGTTGTTGTCTCACTCGAATCAACGAAATCGTGAAACGTACACAAATGTAAATGTCATTTATCAACTGAAGTTAGCTTCGATTGTAATTTTGATTTAAAATTTTTTTTAAATTTTAATTTTTTTATTTAATAATTCGAAATTTAATTTGAAATATTAATCGGATTGAAAAAGAAGATTTTTCTATTTTATTAACAGTAATATGACAAAACAAAAACATTTCGCGAATGTACATAACCTTAAACGTCATTGTAAAATTGAAGACAATTTGGGTTGCCTATATTAATTTAATAACTCATCAAATTTGCAAAATCTTTTATAAAATTTAATAAATTACTGTTTATTCTTCAATAACGCAAATATACATATATAATTGCACCCACCATAACAAATAGATTAGAAAACGTAAAAAATACTACAATCATTCAAATTTTAGCTATAATTGCAAATTCGAACCTTATCACAGTTAATTGTACAGGCTAATAATAGAATAGGCTAACTCGGAAACTATAAGAGTTAGAAAAAAAATAGCTTACACGTCATGACCTCGTTTTTTGAGAAACTGCTAATGCCGAAAACCTCATAGCGCTATCGTCTTTTGTTTTTCGGCTAGAGGCTAAAATTGAAAATATTGTAAAACCAGCAAGCGCAATTATCTTGGTTATTATTATAGCTGGAGTATTATAACTAAGACATTATATGGACACTTTTTTACAGAGAATTTGATGACGTAGTCAAAAAAATTTTTTCGGTTTTAGATTTTGAGATATTATCACAATGTTCGTTTTTTTAAATGGAAACAACCACTGATTATTCGCTTATTAAATTCGTTCCTTTTTTCTGATTACAAAAATATAGGGTTTGACAGGTCTGTTTCTTATTGTTTTAGAAAAAAGCTAAAAATAAACTTTTCTTTTAGCGTCTTCCAAGAAATTAAATTTACAGTTTCCTGTAAATTACGGTACTATAATTAAAAATTAAAAAAACATATTTCTGATATTTGAAACAAATATATTTGTTGGAACTATTTAACTTATATATGTAATCATACAAAAGTTGGAATAGATTGCATTATTACACATTTTTTATTAATATTTAATATTATTCTTAAATGACTTAATAAATTATTGATAGATGGCGACATATGTTTTTTTGAATTAAAATAAACATAGCAACATTTGTTTGTATTCAAAAATTTTCTGAAGTGTCACTTTAAAACTCCTGTTTTTAAGATGAATTACGAAATTTTTGGAAAGTTTAACATGTTAGAATGTTACATATTAAAAAAATTATTTGTTTTTAAATAGCAGAAGTTATCTTCTTATTTAATTGTTAACTTTTTAGATTTTACCATTGATTATTTTATACCAGACTGCTAACCGCTACGTAAAAATTGGTAACGCGATAAGTNCCAAGAAATTAAATTTACAGTTTCCTGTAAATTACGGTACTATAATTAAAAATTAAAAAAACTTATTTCTGATATTTGAAACAAATATATTTGTTGGAACTATTTAACTTATATATGTAATTATACAAAAGTTGGAATAGATTGCATTATTACACATTTTTTATTACTATTTAATATTATTCTTAAATGACTTAATAAATTATTGATAGATGGCGCCATATGTTTTATTGAATTCAAATAAACATAGCAACATATGTTTGTATTCAAAAATTTTTTGAAGTGTCACTTTAAAACTGTTTTTAAGATGAATTACGAAATTTTTGAAAAGTTTAACATGTTAGAATGTTACATATTAAAAAAATTATTTGTTTTTAAATAGCAGAAGTTATCTTCTNCAACAAATACACGATTTTTTATATGTTCCTCTAATAAAGTATTTCTATAAATAAAACGTCAGATAAAAGTTATTCATGACCGGGTAGCTGTAAAAAACCCCTAATTACGGAGCAATTGGCTACAACACGGTTACGATTTGCCTGTAAATACCTTGAGTATAATTGGGAACCAGTCATCTTCACAGACGAAAAAATCTTCTGTTCGTCGGACGACCATAAGAAATTACTATGGCGAAGGAATGGAACCCGGTATGATGCTAATCATGTTCAACCCAATACAAGAAGTGGACGCATTTCCTTGGGTTATTGGGGATGGATGAGTATTCATGGACCGGGAGAACTGACCGAAATTAAAGGAAGATTTAATTCGATTGAATACATTCGAGTGGTGGAGGATGTTTTGATACCATCAGTAAGAACCTTGTATCCAGAAGGGATCATCACGATTGTNTAAATTTAATTTCGTCGACGACACTAGATGGAAATTTTATACAAAAAGTTTATTTTTAGCTTTATTCTAAAACAATAAGAAATAGACCTTTCGAAGCCTATATTTTTGCAATTAGAAAAAAAAAAGAATTTAATAAGCGGATAATCAGTGGTTGTTTCAATTTAAAAAAATGAAAATTGACATGATATCTCAAAATCTAAAACCGAAAAATTTTCTTTGTCTACGTCATCAAATTCTCTGTAAAAAAGTGTCCATATAATGTCTTAGTTGTAACACTCCACCTAGAATAATAACGAAGATAATTGCACTTGCTGGTTTTACGATATTTCCAATTTTGGCCTCTAGTTAAAAAACAAAAGACGATAGCGCTATGACGTTTTCGGCATTAGCAGTTTCTCGAAAAACGATATCATGACATGTAAGCTACTTTTTTTCTAACTCTTATAGTTTCCGAGTTAGCCTATTCGGACATCGAATTTGAATCACCCTGTCAATTCCCTGTCAATATTACCATTGATTATACTACTCCAGATTGCTAACCATATGTATAAAATCGGCAACTGTATATGTTGGGTTGCATCACGCACTGTTTATTCTCAAAAAAAGAATAAATGTAGATAAGTGAGATAGAGTCATAATAAGAAAAGAGACGATCAATTAGCCCCGACCNAAAAATAGTGCTGCCATCTCTTAATCATATCCATTATTATTATAAAATCCACCAGCGCCCCCATAGCGGACAAATCCAAAAATAACACTTTACGCGTCACCAATTTTTACGTAGCGGTTAGCAGTCTGGTATAAAAAAGTCAATGATATTACTCATTTTGAGTAATATTTGCTCTGTTATACATCACCTGACTAAGCGACATTTTATCGGTTTTAGACTTTGATTATATATAATATGGATTGAGCTAACTGAATATATCTACTAACAAAAATGTTGCTCAAGGTGAATAGACGCAGATGGAAAGCGATAATGTGAAAGTGTAACAAAGATAGATATATTATATGTCAGTACGCTTCTATATCTATCTCACTTCTATCAGTACACCCATTATATGGCAGTACGCTTCTATGTCTATCTCGGTTCGATCACCTTGCGCAAGCTATCTCTCTCGTTGGCTCAATCCGTATTATATATAATCAAAGGTTTTAGAGATTTTCATGCTGTCTGGCAGGCAAAGGTGTAACCTTTGATTATATATAATATGGATTGAGCTAACTGAATATATCTACTAACAAAAATGTTGCTCAAGGTGAATAGACGCAGATGGAAAGCGATAATGTGAAAGTGTAACAAAGATAAATATATTATATGTCAGTACGCTTCTATATCTATCTCACTTCTATCAGTACACCCATTATATGGCAGTATGTCTATCTCGGTTCGATCACCTTGCGCAAGCTATCTCTCTCGTTGGCTCAATCCATATTATATATAATCAAAGGGTGTAACTTATCTTACAATTAGAAAAACTTCAGAATACCGAAAGACCTAAAATACTATTTGTTTTAAAGAATAAACCTAAGCGCTAATCACGTTATTACCTACAATTTCGGACCAGTGTCGTTTTCTAGATGTTAGTATAAAATTACAAGTTTATGTCTTTTATTTTATATAGAATTTATGTAAGTCTAACTAGTTTCGGCCCTTGGCCATCTTCAGAGACTCTACGAATAGATGAACATCTCTCATCTTATCCATTTTACAAACGACAGCGGTAGCTAGCGCTAGTTAACATAAGATATCACTATGTTGCATATTTTTATTGCACTAAAACTAGAAATAACACTAGACTTAGAACCAGAAATATTCGGAAAACCTTTCTGGTTCTCGGTCTAGTGTTAGTTCTAGTTTTACACTAACACTATCACTAGAACTAACACGAGAGGTAGAACTAGAATCATTCGGGTTTAGCCGCATTGAGAGACGTGCGTCTTTTAAGACGGAAACTCGGGTTATCGTAAGGACGTCACCTTTTCCAAGCAAAAACTTTCCTTTACAAAACTACCCAATTCCTGTACTATTACAATGCAACGTTTGTTGTCCATATTATTGAAATATACAAAGATTTTTTCACCGAAATGCTTAAATGATTAAAATTAAATATATCAGTGTTGCAACCTAACAAAAAAATATGTACACTCACTTCTAAATCTTTTTATATACAAAAATAATTAAATTCGTTCACTATTTGTGTAAATCTATAAAGAAATCTATTTATTTCCCTTAAGTCTTAATTTTTTATATTTACAAATTTTTATCTAAACAAAAAGTAAGGTTATGTTCTGTTAAGTTGGGTTTGACAGATGAGTAATTAATCAAATATTTAAGTTTAAAACGATTTAATACGTAAGTTTTATCAAAAAAATCTTGTAATATATCAACTTTTAATTATATTTTTAGCATGGCACTTAAAAAGAAAATTTGTGTGGTTGTTTTGGGCGATATAGGCCGTAGTCCACGAATGCAATATCACTCAGAATCGTTTGCTGAACAAGGGGATATTGTGGATATAGTTTGTTATAGAGAAACACTCCCGAAATCTACTTTAATAGCCCAACCTCTCGTTAGTTTTCATTATTTAGCCCCCTATCCAACATTGATGTTGCCAAAGTTTTTGAATTATGTTTTTAAAACTTTATGGCAAGCGATTAATTTATTATTTGTGCTTTTAATTACAAGAAAACCGGATATAGTTTTGGTACAAAATCCTCCAGCTGTTCCTGCCCTTCTTGTTTGTTGGGTATTTAGTTTAATTTGTGGGGCTAAATATGTTATCGATTGGCATAATTACGCTTATAGTATTATGGCTTTAAACGTTGGAAAAAATAACGTTTTGGTAAAAGTTACTAAGAAAATTGAAGAGTTTATTGGTAGAAGGGCAACTAATTTATGTGTTACTAAAGAAATGAAGAAGGATTTAATGGAAAATTGGGGAATAAGGTTCATAATTTTATTTAATTAATAAAAAATTAATTTTTTATTATTTTAGAGCTACTACTTTGTACGATCGACCCTCCGATGTATTTCATTCAATAACTCTTGAAGAAAAACACAGTTTATTAAAGAAATTATCCTCTAAATATGAATGTCTTGGATCTCCCAGTGAGGATGAAACAGTTATCTCGAATCTTGAAGACAACAAAGTAATTTTAAAAGAAAATAGACCTGGAATTATTATTTCAAGTACTAGCTGGACTGAAGACGAAGATTTTTCTATTTTACTCAAAGCGTTAATAAGTATTTAACATAAAATTACTCAAAAATTAACTTTAATTAATTAAAAATGTTATAGATTACGAAAACCACATTAAAGAAGATAACATAAAGCAATTACCAAATTTAATATGTATTATAACAGGAAAAGGTCCACTAAAATCTTATTATCTAAACAAAATAAATCAACTTGAATTGAAACACATAAAAATAATAACCCCATGGTTAGAAGCTGAAGATTATCCAAAAATAATAGCTTCAGCTGATTTAGGAGTTTCTCTTCATACGAGTTCAAGTGGGCTCGATTTACCAATGAAAGTTGTTGATATGTTTGGTTGTGGAATTCCAGTTTGTGCATATGATTTTAAATCTTTATACGAATTAGTTAAACATGAAGAAAACGGCTTTGTATTTAAAGATGCTGAAGAATTAAGCGATCAAATTCAAAGTTGGTTTCAGGAATTTCCAAATAATAAAATTCAAAATAATCAAAAAGAGGCTTTTCTAAATGAAATTAATAATTTTAGAGAATTAGGTTGGAGGGAAAATTGGAATATGATTGCTTCGAGCGTATTTGAATAACTTTAAATGTCAATGTGCGGTTGAAGACAATTTGGGTTGCCTATATTAATTTAATAAAGATTAGAACATTTACAACTACCCTTGTTTATAGATATACATAGTTATTCAACCGATGTTAGTTTGTGCACATGATACCCAGATGGCAGGGTAATTTATGTGTCGCCATTCATAAAAATTTAAACTCTACGTGTCCTAACGTATTACTACGAAAAACGTAAAATAAGTTGCATATATTGTAGTATTTCTTGCATAGAAAGATATCGATAATGTGTCCTTCGAGAATAATACCGAATTGTTGGAGACTATTCGTCGGTAAGTAACGATTTGTAGACGCCAAATTTTTTTATGAACAGATTTTATGGCAGGAAACCAACTGCGTTGAATCTTTTTAAGAAGTTCGTTTAAAAGACTCTATTTTATATACCGAGTAAGGCATTCAAATTGAGACTACCTAATAACTCATAAAACACCAATTTTATCAAAAAAGTTTCAGATAAAACTTTCATCGTATAAAGGCGGAAAGTATTCTGAACGATTTTTATTGCATATTAGAAGCGCCATCAATATTTTTCAATTGTTAAGTATGCTTTTCAAAGGGTACATGTTTTTTGATAAGCATGGTTTTTCGAAAAAAGGGCGAATTGAAAAGTTACCTATAATCCCACACAATATATTAACTGCCCAACGTCGTTAGTAATTCATTTCACGTAACCAATAAAAATTTTCTAGTAACCAATAAAGCATACTTGTATCTAATAACAAAATGAAATTGGCTTTTGGATATCATTCTCCTAAAGCTCTTGATGCAAAGACGTCTGTCAAGGTGGCAGTATATCTTGCGATTTCAATAAAAATAAACTATTGCATTAATTGTCGTTTAATTAGTTGTAATTTGTCGTAAAGTTTACAAATTTGGCGCTTTCTTTTTTTATAAACAATACTTGAAATATTGCATTTTTGAGGTAGTGCTAACTTGACAGTGGGAATCTATGGTGAAGAGTGGAGATAACAAAAAACTAATGACGTCATTCATTGTCGCTTAATTTGTTGTAATTTGTCGTAAAGTTTATAAATTTGTCGCGTCCTTTTTTAAATATATGGATTATTACGAACAGCAGCTTAAACATTGAATTTCTTGTAGCGCCTTTTTCTCTATTGAAGATCTTACACAAGATAGGATGTTTCTGTCTAGAAATCTTTGTTCGAATAAATTATGGGCATAATTAATATCTCTGCCTGCTCCATAAACAAAAGTCATTTTAGTTATTTTCATTATGTTCAGTCAACACAATAAAGTCAACCTTAAAAAAGTTCATTAATATACAGGCTATTTCTAAATTGCGATATCAAGACGTGTATTTCAGCAAAAATTAAGGAGAGTCTTTCATATAACTTTTTGTTCAAAACCCCTTCCCCACCGAGTTACAGCACTCTAAAGTTAGGGGAAAAAATTGTTTTTATTTAATAAATCCACTATGGAGGATTTTAGAAGATTGAAATTTTGCAGGTAACTGTTGTTAATAAAATGACACTTTTTTGACGATTTCTATAACCCGAAAATGTTATTACAAGAGGCTGAACAAATCGACCCCATAATAGTTTGCATTAGAACTTTTTAATACGTCTACATTTTTCTATTTAAAAACTTAATTTAAACACAACTTTTTTGTCTTTTGACATTTTCTCCTAAAATTGTTAGTTTGATCACAAAAAAATAAAATAATATACAGGCTCAAATGAATTAATTCAGAGATTGGTTATTATTAGTCAAAGAAATGAAGTTATGTCAAATTGATCTCAGCATTATTTTATTTTTTATGATCAAATTAACTATTCGTTAGTTGTAAAATGTCAAGAGATAAGAAAGTTGCAGATTTTTCCCTTAATTTTAGAGGGCTATAACTTGGAGGAGAAGGCGTTTTGAATAAAAAGTTATATGAAAGACACCCCGTAATTTTCGCTGAAAAATCATCCCTTGAAATCTTTCACATCAATTTAGAAACACTCGTTAATAAAAGCAGAAATACATACTTCGTTTTTATTTATTTAATTGATTCTAATTAATATTTCTTAATTTTCGTATTTGTACTTTAACCAAAGAATTCTCAACGACGAAATAATAAAGAAGGAATTTGTATACGTGAAGTCGTTTATCCAAACTCGAGTAGTTGCAAAAAAATTTTGTTTATACTACATACTCGTTTGATATGTGTGATCCATTAAACTGTCGGTTGGCCAATTGCTCAAAGGAACGCTCGGCGCTACCACGTCTGGAATTAAGTCTGCAATAAGACGAACAAAAATCAAAACTGACTTTTTGTATTTCCACTACAATTTAAATCGAAAATAATTATTGGTTTTTTTTTATTTTTATCGTAGAAAAGTACTAATTGATTTATTTAATTAGCAAGTCAATTTTTGGTTCTCTGTTATAAAAAAAGACAGATATTTTTTAAAATATTGAGATGTAATGCTTAAAGTAATTAAATATTTTATATCTTAAACAATTTCGTGTTCAATCACATAAATTCAATTAATCTTTTATTCTGAGTATGCAACTTCTACTACAAGTTGGATTTCCAATTTTATTCAATTCATTCATAATGATATTTTTGAAATTTAAATGATGAGCAACCCAACTCGATCGGTTGGATAACTATGTATATTTATTACTACAATTGTTTAAAATTTCGCAATAATTGTAAATTCGAACCCTATCACAATTAATTGTACTCTGTCGATCCTGAGTATTTGATGACCATCCAGTTATTAATATAACAGAGATTTATTTACTTCTGGTCTCTTGAACGCTACTCTTCTAATTTCATGCTAAAATAAACCCATATTTCCTATACATCCAATAACATGGATGTTTGCTCCTCTGCAGCTGGCAAATTCAAAATTGGTTTCAGGAATTTTCAAATAATAAAATTTAAAATAATCAAAGAGGCTTTTATAAATGAAATTAATCATTTTAGAAAATTAGGTTGGAGGGAATGATTGAAAATTAATATGTACTAAAAAAACTTATATTTTATATTCAATCTGTTAATACAAAATAAAAGTGATTCTTAAATTAGTTTATTTACACTAATAATCTTTCGATTTCTTGTTGAATTGTAGTGATTTGCGGTTTTAGTTGTGACCCTTCATTTATTGTCACACTACACGCAATAACCGATCTTGAAACGCCACAAGCTCTTCCTAAAGCTTGCTTTGACCTAACAAATACATAAGGAACGTTTTTATCTTCACATAGTAAAGGTAAATGCAACAAAATTTCCAACGGTTCTGTATCGGCAGCCATTACAATAAACTCCGATATTCCCCGATTCAAAGTTTTCGTGACTTCGTTAGCGCCTTTACGGAGTTGTTTATAATTCATCGCTTGTTGAACGAGGTTCAAAATCTTCGTGGTAAGAGTGGCATCAGCCAATGGATACGCTTTTGGATTTACTTCTTCAACCTACATTAAGTAAAAATTAATTTAATATTTGAGGTTATAATTTAATATTTCCTTACCATTTTTGAAAACGTGTCAAGTCGGGAATGTTAAAAAACGATTAATTAATGTCAAAAGCAACCTCTCGGCGTTAATGCGCTTCACTGAGGAGCAAATTAACCGAGCTTTTAAGAGAACACGTGCAATCGAAAAACGCGGTTCGAAAAGTTAGGTTATGCGTCAATTATAAACGTAAGAACAACGCTTTTTATAGCGACATCTATTATAAAAAGTAATAACTCTTATTAAGTGATGCTACGATCAAGTTTTAAGGCCTTATTATTGTTTAAAAGGGTTGAATTAATTTATTGGGGTGTGTTGGGTTGAGTTAGAGAAAATAAAATAAAAATTAGATAAATATTTGAAAAAAAATTTAATTTTTATGAGATTGCGCCATCTATTGGAAATAAATCGTAATAACAATTAAGTTTGAAGTTAGAATTGTTGATCAAAATCTCTATCAAGATAATTTTATTTATATTATTATAATGCTGTTTAATAAGGAGTGATAATTACAGTAATAATATTTAGTAATAACACACAATAACTATAACTGTTAACAGCATACTGGAAAGTTGCAGATCATATTGCCAAATTCAGAAAAACAACTTAACGATGTTAACTCTTAAAGTTCTTCGACAAACTACTGTTCAAAAGACTGAGGACAATAATAGATATTCGGCACACTTTCAAAACAACAATTACAGCCGTACAAACAGGAAAAGTACAAGACAGTAAGGAACTACAAAAAATTCATGGATGTCAGAAGAAATCTTAGAACTGATGAAAACTCTAAAATCTTACAAAAAGAAAAATAAAGCGAAATATAAAGAAACGCAGAGAATCATCAGAAGGCACATCAGGAAAGCGAAAGAAGAGATGGATGAGATGGATGAACAGCAGATGTGGGGAATTAGAGGACTTAGTAAGAAAACATGACCACTTCAATACATAGAAAAAGGTAAAGGAAGTTACTAATATGAAGAAATACTTCACTACAATGACTCTATATTCTATTTTGTAATACGGAGGAGTAAAATGAAAAGTCACGTTTACATTTGTTTCTCATAAAATGCAACATGTCAATATAATTTGACATTGCACTAAAACCTCGATATAACGGATTAATACGGGGAAGCTCAATACAATAATCTAGCGCTGAATAACAAATCATACTAGACTAATACTAGTATTAAAACTAACACTAGAACTAGAAACATTCCGTTTAGCTGTACCTCTCTTAAGACGGCTGGTAGGTAGCGCTAGTTCTAGTTAGCATTAATAAAATATCACTATATTGCATAGTTTTATTGAACTAAAACTATCACAAGTCCTAGAACTAGAATCATTCGGGTTTAGCCGTCTTGAGAGACGTGCGGCTAAACCCGAATGTTTCTAGTTCTCGGTCTAGTGTTAGTTTTAGTTTTTCACTAGCCCTATCATTAGAACTAACAGAAGACCTAGAACTAGAATCATTCGGGTTTAGCCGTCTTGAGAGACGTACGGCTAAATGCGAATGTTTCTAGTTCTCGGGCTAGTGTTAGTTCTAGTGGCAGTGTAGGTAGCGCTAGTTAGCATAAGATATTACTATGTATGTTGTATATTTTTATTGAACTAAAACTAGAGCCAACACTAGACCTAGAATTAGATTTGTGAAAACGTACATCTGTTGAGTATTGTTATGCGGAGTAGAAGCATGGACTCTTGGAAATAATGGTATGAACGGATAGAAGCTTTTGAAATGTGGGTTTTCCGAAAAATGCTGAAAATCCCTTGGACGGAGCACGTCACCAATGATGAGGTGCTAAGAAGGATAGGAACTAACAACGATTTCTTAAATATGGTAAAAATCCGGAAAATAAGTTATCTAAGGCATATTTATAGAGGGAAAAATTTTCTACGACTCATAATGGAAAGAGAAAATGCTCGTGGTTAAAGAATGGAAGAAACTGGACAGGCATGGACATAGAGAGCACTTTGCCGAAATTATCGCGTAATGGAGAAGGCACCTTAAGAAGAAGAGAATAGCCTAATCTCAGATTATCACCTTGGATTCAAGCAAATGCACTCAGCAATAAACCAAAAGCATAGAATAAACGACACCGTTGAATGGGCCTTGGAAGAAAACAAAGTCTGCTCGGCAGTCTTCCAAGATATTGCACAAGCTTTTGACAAAGTTTGGCTTGATACACAAACTAGACAAAATACTCTCAAACCAATACGTAGGAATTTGTGTGTAAATTAATACATAATCTCTTCAGTTTTTTGTTCTCTTTACAGCATATTTCTTGCACTTAAACTTCTTTCCAATCTTAGTTCATTCTACACAACCTCATTCTTATATTGCATGCTCCATGTATAAATTAATACATAGATAACTAACCTCGGTTGAATAAATATGTATATCATGTTGTTATAGAAAATAGGCTATGTTACATAGCATGAAAATTAGATAAATATTTGAAAAAAAATTAATTTTTTTAATTTTTATGAGATTGCGCCATCTATTGAAAATAAATCGTAATAACAATTAAGTTTGAATTTAGAGTTATTAAACGAAAATATCAGTTAAGATAATTATTATAATTATCCATATTATTATAATACTGTTTAATAAGGAGTGATAATTATTAAAGTTTTAATTAGATAAAAAATGAAATTCTGTCAAATTAAATGGCGGGAAATTTTGAATCTTTCTTGTTAAATGATACATGTTATTATTACACATGTATTATCTTATAAACTGTAATTTACATAAAACTTAGAATGAATTCAATTATTTAATAAAATTGCACAAAAACTATGTATTACATAACACGAAATCCATTAAATTTATTTTTATGTCATCTGAGAGTTGTGCCCTCTACTCAAAATAAATCGCACTACCAATTAATCCGGTAAAATATTTTCCACCGGGAACAAGAAATTAAAAATAGAAGATAATTATGCCACAATCCGTTCCAAACGTGATGTTTCAAGTAAGACCTAACTTAAATTATATTGAAAAACCCGGAAAAATTATAATTTCCTTCTTAAACACTAAAATTCTGTCAGCTGTCATAGTTCTTTCATGAAAGCACATTAATTAAAAACGAAATTTAGTGAAAATAATAAAATATGCGTTATTTTCAGAACGCGGTAGAACCGATGCAGGTTGATGCCCCTCCTGAAGACAATGACAATAACGAAGAAGAGACCTATATTGTTGAAAATCCAACGTTAGATTTGGAAGTGTATGCAAATAGTTATGTGGGGTTAGCAAAATTATACAGACTCATTTACATCATTGATCATTGCCCATCATTAAGACTTGAAGCTTTAAAAATGGCAATATCATATGTTATGACAACCTTTAATGTAACAATGTATCAAGTACTTCATCAAAAATTAGCTGAGGTAACGAGCACAAATGCTTTACCCGATGTTGCGGCCCAATCTACATCTCAAGATATCCCAGTAATGGATACAATGTGGATTGATAATAAATCAAAAAAGGCTGCTTTAAAATTAGAGAAGTTAGACAATGATTTAAAGAATTCGAAATCAAATTCAATTAAAGAAAGCATCAGAAGAGGTCATGACGATTTAGGAGATCATTATTTAGATTATGGAGATTTATCGAACGCCCTTAAATGTTATTCCCGATCAAGGGATTATTGTACGAGTGGAAAACATGTTGTAAATATGTGTTTGAATGTGATTAAAGTATCAGTTTATTTACAAAATTGGTCGCATGTGCTTAGTTATGTTTCTAAAGCTGAAAATACACCAGATTTTTTGGAACCTTCAACAAAAGATTCCAATCTAATGATTTTGACAAAACTTAAATGTGCAGCGGGATTAGCTGAATTAGCTACAAAAAAATATAAATCGGCCGCAAAACATTTTTTACAAGCCAATTTAGATCATTGTGATTTCCACGAATTGATGTCCCCAAATAATATCGCAATGTACGGCGGTTTATGTGCTTTAGCAACATTCGATAGACACGAATTACAAAAAAACGTCATCTTTAGTAGTTCATTCAAATTATTTTTGGAATTAGAGCCTCAATTGAGAGATATAATATTTAAATTTTACGAATCAAAATACGCTTCATGTTTAAAACTTTTGGATGAAATTAAAGATAATTTATTATTGGATATGTATATCGCCCCTCACGTTAACACTTTGTATACGCAAATAAGAAACAGGGCTTTAATACAATATTTTAGTCCGTATTTATCAGCGGATATGCGGAAAATGGCCACGGCTTTTAATCGAACCGTTCCTGCTTTAGAAGATGAATTAATGCAACTTATTTTGGATGGGCAAATTCAAGCGAGAATCGATTCTCATAATAAGATTTTATTTGCTAAAGATGTCGATCAGAGGAGTACTACTTTCGAGAAGAGCTTACAAATGGGGAAGGAGTATCAAAGAAGGACGCGTATGTTGATTCTAAGAGCTGCAGTTTTAAAGAATAAAATTCATGTTAAGGTAATTTTTAAATTAGTTATTACTAGGGCAACCAAAAATATGCTCAAAAAATGATAGTTTAAGCGCTTAAAAAAATGCTGTATAAAAATCAAAATATGCTGTTTAAACATGAAAATATGCTCTATAAAAAAGAGTCTTTTCCAAATATTCCTATCAAATTTAAAATGTAGTTGTCTTTTAAATCTGTAGGCGAAGTTAAACAAAATAAAGTAGAAATGATTTCTATTTATATCTCGAGACATTTATTAGTTTGACATGTTTAAACTAAAAGACAATTAGAAAATATTGAACAATATACAAAAGACAAATAGAAAGAAATAGATAATAAAACAAATACAGATTCAACTTAAATTTTGATTACAATAAATGATAAACATCTCACCTAAATTATCAAAAAGGAAGCTTTGTCTGTTTGCATGTAAAACATTCTTGTACATTGAAAAACTTCGTTCCACTTCCACTGAAGTTATAGGTGCAAACTTAAATGCTAGTATTTCACTAACAGTGTATTTATTGTTTTTATTTCTGTAGATCCTGTACTTAAACATGTAGAAATTTCTTTCAAAATAGAAAAACCATGATTTTTTGAAATACACATATCCATTTTTTTCTTTACTGGCTTAGCAGTTTCACTGTTTATTCCATTAATTAAGTCCTGAGCTTTTGTCACTATATCAACCTGTGCAGAAAGCGAAAGCCCAGTTGTTTCCAATGTTTTTGTTGACGCACAAAGGAAGCCATAATTTGATGCAATGAAAATCAAATCTGATTTTATTGTATTGTCATTTAGTAAGGCCTTTGAAATTTTGATTGACGCAGCGTCCTCTTCATCTAATGCATCAAACACATTCCTAATTATTTCGAAATTAGTTGCATAGTACTTTGCCGCTTCAATCCATGTTCCCCAGCGAGTAGTTACCGGTTGTGGAGGAAGAACAATACTAGGCGCTATTTCCTTAAAAATTGCTACTCTTGATGGCGCTTTTAAAAATACTTTTTTCACATTGGCGATAAGCCGGTCGATGTTAGTGTATGTACCTCGAATTTGCTCACAAACTCTATGAAGTCCGTGTGCAGCACAAGTCAAGTGTGTCACTTTTGGATAAAACGTTTGTATCGCCTTTGCTGCTTTTACCATGTAGGGAGCAGCATCTGATACAAAGAGTAAAATCATATCTCTGTTGAAAGTCTTACCCAAAATCTTAACAGAATCATCGAAATGTCTTGCAATAGTGCTATGATTCGCTTTATCAAGCACTGCTGTATTTAACGAAAATTTTTGTTTCGCAATCGACTCATCATTATCCAAAATACCAATGATGACATTTGCCACATATCTTCCTGTTGCATCTGTGGTTTCGTCAATGAGAGCCACAAGAAGCGACCGTTGATACATTTTCGTATGTGTTCTATGGTATTTTGGTAAAGTTCCTTAACATACTTTGTGCGAAGAGTAGTTTCAGATGGTACTTTGTACTCTGTGTATGACTCTAGGAACGATACTAATTTTTTGTTACGCATTTTATATAGAGGTATATTAGCTGAAATTAGTGCGCTACATAGATCTTCTGCAAATTGAATATCTTTTGATTTGGATGTGGAACATTCAGCAAAAAAAGGCTGAGTAGTTTTCTTCTCATTATTTTTTTTCTCTAATTCTATGTGTTTTAAACTTGCTAGATGCTGTTTTATCGAGGATATTTTGTCGGCTGACACAGATTTGTTGCACACTTTGCAAAAAAGTACCTTACCATCAGTTTTGAATACAGGATATTCACGCACATATTGGGATAACTTTCCTGAACTTTTCGAATGTCGATAATTTAATATTCTTTAAAGAATTGAAGAACTTTATGGTAACTTTATATCAAATTGCAAAATAAAATTTTGAAAATATGCATTAAAAATATTCATTTATTTCCAAAAATGTTATATAATTTGAAAATATGCAATGTATGCTCGTATAGATAAAATAAGCAAAAATATGCTCTAACAAATACGGCTCAAAATTCATAGATTGGTTTGAAACAAATTTCTATCTAGTCCATTTTATTCTGGAGGCTATGAAAAAAAAATATACGTTTGCATATTTTTGGTTGCCCTAGTTATTACTAGAGTTTTTATTGTTAATTAAAAGTTTACAATTTTCTGTACAATACATGACAAACCAAACTTAACTTCCCTTTCATCCCCATTTCCTGTATTCCCTCGCCCCAACCACCACCCAAGCTTTATATGTTAAAGGTTGTCTAAGTTCTTATGCTGCAATACTTTGATTTTAGTTTGTGGGCGAGGGGCAAGAGCAGGAGTGTTTCGTGACGTATAGTTCATTTTTTTTTATAATACCTGCCAAATTGTTGTAAAGTTGGCAAAATTACCAGGGAGTTTTATTTTATCATGTTTTGAAGTAAATATGTTTGAGCTTTCGTTATTCAAAATTGCATAAAAAATGTTGTGGGGTGTTTATTTGCCATTTATTTACCTAGAAAAGGTGTTTTGTTCTATTTAATTACTTTGTAGCACGTTTTTACAACAAACATGTACTTCGTTAAAATCGTATTTATCTAAAAATTTATTAGTATTTTAACCTCAACTATTTAGTTACTGAAAATGTTACTAAAATCAGGAAAACAACATAAATTTTATAAGGGTCTTAGATAATACCAACAGAAACCCTAAAAAATTTACATTGACAAGTATTATAGAAAAAAAACGAACTATAAGTAGGGATGCAACATCGCTCATAAAAACATCGATGTTTTCCAAAAGTGAAACATCGATGTCGAAAACATCGACGTATTATACCGATAAATCGATGTTTAAAAAAATATTCAGTGGCTGAATTTTTATTATAAGAATTATCATAATAATCAATAATATTTGGACCGCGTTCTGCATCACTTGACTAAGCGACAAATAATAATAATAATAACTTTATTATCATAAATTTAATCACTAAAACTAGAGACAAAATGATGACGATTTGTGTAAAAATTTTTGAAGAAAATAATCTAGAGTTTGATTTTGTACTTTTAAACTGGTTTTTATTTTATATAGAATTTAAGTCTAACCAGTTTCGGCCCTTGGCCATCTTCAGAAACTCTACAAATAGATTAAC